CCTCAATCCTAAATGTTATGTCTGGAGGAAACCAGGCACCGCTCATCACCTGCCCAATACCATTCCAACAGTGAAGCATGGTGGTGGCACATCATGCTGTGGGGGTGTTTTTCAGCAGTAGCAACTGGGAGACTGGTCAGGGTTGAGGGAAAGCTGAATGGAGCAAAGTACAGAGATATCCTCAATGAAAACAGTGCTCAGGACCTCAAACTGGGCCAAAGGTTCAGCTTCCAACATGACAACAATCCTAAGCACACAGCCAAGACAACACAGGAATGGCTTAGGGACAACTCTGTGAATGTCCTAGAGTGACTCAGCCAGAGCCCTGACTTGAACCCTATTGCACATCTCTGGAGAGACCTGAAAATGACGGTCCCCATCTACTGACAGTCCCCATCCAGCCTGATTGAGCTTGAGAGGATTTGCAAAGAAGAATGGCAGAAAATCCCCCAATCCAGGTGTGCAAAGGATGTCTCATCATACTGAAAAAAACTCGAGGCTGTAATTGCTGCCAAAGGTGTTCAACAAAGTACTGAGTAAAGGGTCTGAATACTTAAGTACATGTGATATTTCAGTTTTTTCTTTTTAATAAATTTACAGACATTTCTAAAATTCTGTTTTCACTTCGTGAAATTATGAGGTACTGAATGTAGATTAATGAGAAAAAAAATGAATTTGAACAATTGTAGTATCAGGCTGCAACATAAAAAAATTGAAAAAAGTGAAGGGGGTCTGAATACTTTCCAAATGCACTGTAGGTAGCTGAATAAGACAGTAACATGCTTCATGTGTGGGCGGTAAGCAAAACGGGGAGTTCATATATCATGGTAAACCAAAAATGTATGCCTTAATGTTATGAATGAGCAAGGCCATAAAACATGCTACCTGTAGCTTGTGTTTACCATGATTTAAAGTTCAAATAGATAACAGACAAGCTACATTACATACAGTACATAGCTACATAACTTTATTACAGTTGCCGACCAGAGACAAGCTACATTTCAAGAGCTACTAATCTGCTTTTACTTTCCATCTTCTCAGCATTCAGAAATGCAAGTTCACTTCTACAATGCTGCAGATTCTGCAGTAAGGGCTGTATGAGGGCCTGTCAATTTGAATATCTTGATATTTCTAAAATGCCCAATAACTCAGCAGTATAAATCAGTTTAAAACATTAAGTACAAAATCAACTTTACAGAAGTGCAAACAATCGCTTTCTAGGTTAATGGATCATTTAAAGGCAAATAAGATTTGAGTAATCGGTATTAATAATACTGTATATAATAATGATAGAAATAATAATCATGATCGTCATCAGCAGATAAAGTTACTTGCTTTTAAGCTTTCCAAATACACTGAAGGACACTGTATTTTTGGATAACAGTTCTGGCATTTGCACCTCAGTATGTTAATGAGCATATGCAAGTTTTATATCTATCTTAAATTCTCTCTTGTCTGGAGCAACCTACACACTCTCCCCACTGTGTTGGCATGCTAAAACCCTGCCCTTGACATTCCCCTCTCCTTGCTCCAGACAGCCTGCCTGAACTGTTCGTTTTCCTCTTCCTTTCAGCAGGAGCATCTGGCTGGTTAATTCTGAGAGGCTCCAGGTCAGCTGCACTGCCCTGCTTTTAACTAGGCAGGGTATGGGCTTTTCCATCAATTGTTTTCAGAAGATATACTTCTGCCAGAGATTCCAACTTAGGGTTAGGGAGATCTGTAGGAAAGAAAGCAGGACATGCTGATTGTCAATTTTGTGCACCTAAAACATTGTATGGCTAAAGTTAGATTACCCAGCTTAGGTTGAGAGACTGATGCAGTTTTTAATTTGTAGCATCTTGATTTTCAGAACAACAGGCCAATCACAATATAAATTTTGGAACCAGAATTGGATTCTAACTTTTGCCATTAATTCACTGAATATTCCTGCAGCATGCTAAGCTATAATTAGTTCTAAGTATGATCACCAAGCTCCCCATATCCATGAGCAAGTTAAACACTGGCAGATGGCTTTATATAACATGTAGAGTCCAATGACATGCTGGGATTAAGATAAACTATGTTGTAACATCCCATGGTTACTGATTATAAAGTCCTTCCTCCTTAACCATAATCAGACCCATGGTTTGGACAGTCCCATTAAGCAAAACCATGTGTCAGACAACTTATGAAGCCAAATCATGGCATTGTTTAGTTTAGCAAGTGCAAAAGCAGACTTCATCTGGCCCTGGGCCAACAATGATTTCTCACTTCTGAGCCAAGTTCCTGTATAGTGGGCAAAATGACAACAGATATTTAGTCTAAAATCTGAAACAAAAAATGGTAAAGCAGGACAAATAACAGGCAGGGTTAGATTAAGATTTATACATATTAAAGTTAAACTGGTTCATGTTACACTTGGATATGAAAAAGGAACCTGGAAAGATGTTACTGACCTGTAAGAAACACCCTCAGCTAAACATATTATGATTATAGCCATGCAGTTAAATCCAACATATCTATTCAAAGTAAGGCCTACTTACTGTATTTTAAATGTACGCAGTTTGCGTTTCAAGGAAGATTTTAAAAAGCTAAAATGCAGTAAAACAAACAATTAGTAGCATTATTATTAGCAGCAGGTAGACACCACTGAGGAGGGAATTCCACAAATGGGACGCCATTGCCTCACACTAGAACCCGGGGGATGATCTCTGAACATTACTTTAATACTGCATAAGCAGCCTCGTAACTGTATAGCATTGTATCCCTGACCCCTGAGAAATGTAATGCACAACTGTGAGGTGCATAAAGTTTAAGAACGGCATGGTTGGTAATGGAAGAAAATTGCATTATCAACTCTAATGTTTCAAACCTTCATCTATGCAGTGTTTCTCCACCTCAGCAACTTTGAGATGCGTGGACTTCAACCCCCCCAAATTCCCCCCCCCCCACAACCGGGGGGGGGGAGCTTGGGGGGG